CAGTCTAACAGGCATGCAGATGCCCAGTCTTCTCTGGGAGAAGGTTGTGATGCAGGGCCTTCTACGGTATGAAGTGCATGTAGTTGTCAGTGTGATCCTGATTATGCTTTATGTAATTATTGTAAATGTTTCACAAGTTACTTGGACATCGTGGCATTAGGTTAGACGTACTTCTCAAACCCAACTTGTTAACCTCTGCACTCTGAGAGTTGAAAATTTTAAAGAAGTCAGCAGAAATAATGGAAATAAAGATGGAAAAAAAGGAACTTTGGAGCACCTCTTAACAACTCACAATATCACGAGAGTTGAATTTATTGGGGCTTGGAGGTAAAAACAGGAATTATTTGAATAGGCAGATTTTGTTTTATATATCTATATCTAAGTGAAACAAAACCTACTGCCATTGGGTCAGTTCCAACTCAGAGTGACCCCCATAGGGTCTCTAAAGCTGTAAATCTTGATAGAAGTAGTTTGTCTCATTTTCCTCCCACGGAGCATTTGAACCACTGAGCTAGTGGTTAGCAGCCAAATAAATGCCTTACCCACTGTGCCACCAGAGCTCCTTTTAGCTACATATAGATAGAGTGCCTAATATCCACCTGTAGATAGATATGAAACATAAGTGTGTTTCTATATATGTGGATATATATCAGTTTAATTATACACCCCTCACCACAGGTAGCTGTGTACATGTTGCTGTGAAGAAAGAAAAACAGCATTGAGTGTTTTTATGTACATGTATGTGAACATTAGTATTCAATTGTTTTTTTAATCTATGAAATCAGTGTAAACCCTTGTTGTTCCAAAGACTTCTAAGATGGGTTACTGTGTGATTTTTTTCCCCCCTTTGATGACGGAATTTCTTTAATATTCATCATTGTTTTCCTGCTTACCAGATTCCATCCGAGAATCCTTACGTGAGTGAAAATACCAATTCTGCACTTTTCTATTTTATGATGAGTCAACAATGTGAAGAGGATAACAAAGTAGTTGAGGATATCCTTTCAGTAAAACCCCGCTCTGGTGTAAAGAGACCATTTCCAAATGACTCGGATAGTATGTCTGATGTGAACATCCCTGAAAAAATTCCCAGGACAGGTTGGTAAACTATTTTGTAATTTATGTTTTTTAACACAGTTTGTTTATGATTTTTAAAAATATATCTACCCTAGTAAATACAACGTTTTTGTGAGCTTATAACAAGAGGCGGGGGAGAGAGTGGAAAGAAATATGAGAGAAAGAAGAAAACTTGGAAAAAGCTGACCTTTGACTTACAGCCTGCTAGCATAAAATGGAAATCCCACAATTTGAAAATGGAGGGGATAATGGGATTTTAAATGATGAAATGGATGGGAAAAGGGGAGAATGGAGAACATTGATCCATCAACCTGATCTTTTATGAATCAAAATATTATATTTGTAGGTATGTTAAGCGTGCAGTTAAATTTATTTATGTGAATGTTACAGATTCCATAGGAATTAATCAACTCATAGTTTTGTGTGAAGTTTTCAGAAGTATAGGATGTAAAAATATTTTGTAAGTGACTGTCTTTTTGTGTATGATGTATACTTTTTTATCTTTTATACCTGTTAAAAGACTGAGTTTTTTAAGAGCCATGAGATGATACTATTTTTATAGGATTACATATATTATTTAATGGGTCTTCAGAGAGTTTAAGAGCTACCAATCATGCACTAAACTGACTCCTTCACTTTCTACCACCTGTTCTTTGATAGAGATGCTCATCAATAATGAAATGAAT